CCTCAGCATGGGGCAGGCAGCGAGCAGGACCAGTGAGGCTCAGGTACTGCCGTTGTCATCAATGCTGTTATTGTCATTATTCACTCATTCCTCTGACGTCCTGGGGCCCATGGTGTCTGCATCTCCCAGTCCACCCGTCACTTCCATTGTCTTGTGTGACCTTCCGGTGGCTCCCGTGGAGGAGGCTTCTCCCTTACACTGCTGTGTCCACCCCCACCTTGAGCCCGGCACGGAGCTTGGCGCTCACGAGGTTCTTGGCGATTCGAGCCTTGATCACTCTGTACCTTTATCAGGGATGTAGGGATGAGGCCCGATCCCATCCAACACCCCAACACCAACACGCTGCTACCTCTGTTTGACATCCAGGTGTCTGTGACCTTCGACGATGTGGCCGTGACTTTTACCCAGGAGGAGTGGGGGCAGCTGGACCCGGCCCAGAGGACCCTGTACCAGGAGGTGATGCTGGAAAACTGTGGACTTCTGGTGTCTCTGGGTAAGTGCTCCCCACTCCACCCTAGGGGGGGACCTGCCACCTCGTTGTCAGAGGACCTTCTGTCTCCAAGCGTGGCCCCCAGATTCCGCACCTCTGCGTCTTTGCCTGTTTCTGTTGTTTCTCTTCCTTACTCTGCTGCGGGGCTGTGTGGGGTGTCCTTGAGGCAGAAATGGCCACCTGAGCCCGAGCTCCTCTGGACCTCTCGCCCCAGTGCCCGGGACAGACTGGTCTCCATCTGAGGTCCTCATTTCACATTCCAGAGGGGGAGCTGACGGGCTGAGCCTGGTTGGCTCAAGTGTCCTCAGCAGGGCCAGCAGGACAGGGAGTGATGGGAAGTTCTCCGGGAAGGGAGGGAGTCAGGCCCCCCGGAGGCCTTTGCCTTCAGCACCGACAGGTATTGTTGTAAACGAGGTGATCCCAGTGACGGGGCTTCTCTGTGCTCACGTGCCCTCGTGGTTGTCACTTGTTTCCAGGGCCGGGATCGTCTGCCGGGACGAGAGAGGCGGTTAGAGTAGTGCTTCTCGGCGGGTGGCAGTTTTGCCCCCAGGAGCCATTTGGCAACGTCTGCGGGCACTCTGGGTTGTCGCGCCTTGGGTGTGGGTGGAACTGGCATCTGGTGGTTAGAGTCCGGAGATGCTGGAGACCTCCTTCGATGGACACGACGGGCCCCTCAACAAGAATTATCCCTCCTGCAGAATCCAGGGTGCCCAGTTGAGAAACGCCAGCTTAGATGTTTCTCTGCTTGAGGTTAGTCACCACGAGGCCATTCGATCTGAGACCCCAGAGCTTAGGGGAAGACGTGCCGATTTTTGGAGAACTGGAGTTAGGTCTCAGTGAGAAGAGGCAAAAACAAAATTAGAGAAGTTTGATAGATTAAATATTTTGTAACAAAACGTTTACAAATAGAAAGTGCATTTTGGCCCTGCTGAGCTCTTCTCTCCCCTTCCGTGCTCTCCCTGAGCTCCCCCTGCTGTGGCTGTGCGGGGCGTCTGGTGGTTTCCTGCGCACACACCTGGCTCGGGCCTCAACTTGCTGTTGTGTCTGCCTGGTGAGTGTTCGTGGACATTTCAGCCTCTCAGACGGTGACCCTTCTGTGCGCGGTCCCCGCCTCCTCGCCAGCAGTGTCCTGACCACCAGATCTTATGCAGGGCCCTCCCCCATCCCTGTCGCTTTCTCTCATCATCCCGGTTATGGCCTTCTAGGTTAGCGGTCTCAAGCAGGGACGATGTCGTCCCCGAGGGACACTGGGCAGTGTTTGTAGACATTTTGGTTGTCGCCCTGGGATGGGGCTGAGACAGGCACCTGGTGGGTGGAGACCTGGAGTGCTGCCAAACATTCTTGTAACGCACAGGACAGTTTCCTCCCTGTCTTCCCTGCAAAGAAGTGTCTTGACCTAAATAATCATGCCCGTAACCCACATAATGTCAGGTTGAGAAACCTTATTTCAGAGAGTGTAGGAACATGAACTGGCATTGAGAGACACCCTGATATGATGATTGCATTATTTCTTCTCTTTTCCTGCCTCTGATTGCTTTTGATGGCAAGCTGGATTTAGTGCTGAATCTTTTTTTTTTTTTTCAAGTGTTTACTCATTTATCTTGAGAGAGGGGGGTAGAAATAGCGGAGGAGAGAGAAAGAATACAAGCAGGGGAGGGGCAAAGAAAGAGGGAGAGAGAATCCCAAGCAGGCTTCCCACTGTCAGCACAGAGCCCATCCTGGGCTCAACCCCACGAACCCCAGGATGATGGCTTGAGCTGAAACCAAGAGTCGGATGCTTGACCCACTGAGCCACCCAGGTGCCCCTAGTGCTGAACCTTAATACATCTTCTTTACTACCCCCACCCTCCAGTTGTTGGCACTTTTCCTTTTAAAACAGAAGGAGCCTTGAGCCCACAGCCATGAATAGGCAGCATGAGCTTACTGGGACTTAACAGCATTTTGATGGCATTGCTGAGTTTTTGTGGTGATCTTCCACTAAGGGTAGACTCTAGGTTTCTCATTTACCAGAATGATGCAGGATTCTTTCTTTGAAGAAAATAAGAAAAATTCAAAATGGGTCATGTTTGGGGCGCCTGGGTGGCTCAGTCGGTTGAGCGTCTGACTTTGGCTCAGGTCATGATCTCGCGGTCTGTGAGTTCGAGTCCCGTGTCGGGCTCTGTGCTGATATCTCAGAGCCCGGAGCCTGCTTCGGATTCTGTGTCTCCCTGTCTCTCTGCCCCTCCCCTGGTCATGCTCTGTCTCTCTCTGTCTCAAAAATAAATAAAACATTAAAAAAAAATGGGTCATGTTCAAAAGTTCAAAAGCAGTTAACAATCACAGATCCCCTGAGCACTGACTGTGCGGGACTGTTCAGGCTTATTCATGCTCCACTCATGTAAATTGTCACAGCATTCCCCCTCCCCCCCCCGTATGAATTTGCACCTGCAAGATTTGCATTTGTAGAGGTGACTTAGTGACAGATGATGTAGAGAGCTTAATGCTGTCATGTATTTTACATGTTTCTATGTGTGCATTTACATACATACGTACACACCTGTGCACGTCTGTACATACTCGCCCATGTGTGTGCTAGTTGTGTGTAAACGAAAAGAATCTCTTTTTCCTCTACTCAGTAACACTTCTGACATGAAAATCTTGTGTTCGACCCCACGCAATTCTGCCACACACTAACTGGAGTTCGCACAGATCCCGCAGGTTAAAACGGGCTCAGTCTCTTAGGACAGCCCCTCCCCCTCCCACACATCCACTTCAGATGCCAGTCACAAGTCCAGGTCATCACCTGTCTGGATCACCTGGCTATAAATCAGGTATGACCCCCTTCTCAGGTTTGATAATTTGCTAGGGTGGCTCACAGAACTTAGGAAAGCACCTTAATATTACCCAGTTATTGTAAAGGATCAAATTCAGGAACAGCCAAATGGAAGAGACGCAGAGGACGAGGTGTGTAGGACAGGCCACTGAGCTCCCATGCCCGCTGTCTAGGCTTGCCACCCTTCCTGCACCTCGATGTGTTCACCAGCCTGGAAACTCACTGAACCACGTTAGTTAGGGCTGCTGATGAAAGCTTCATGACATCGGCATCATGGAGGAAATCACTGGCCATTGGTGTTTGAACTCCATCTCCAGCCCCTGTTGCCTGCCCAGAGGTTGGGGGATGGAACTGAACATTCCAGTGCTATAAGCATGTGTTTGGTTCCCCTGGCCCCTCCTTAGGAGCGTTCCAAAAAGTCACCTCAAGAGCATAATAGAATTCCTAATAGAAGAAAGCAAAAAGGTTCTGTGTCTAATTTCGGTCTTAGGAGAGGCAGTCTGGACACATGCTGGGGTGAAGGTTTTAGTGTTAGCGTGGAGTTGTCATCATTGGAGTGTTGGTCTGGGTCGGTGTTGTCCACGTGTGGGACTGGGGTATCCTTTGCGAGTGAATGCCCGCTCAAGTTGATGGGCGCCTCCTGTGTTTGCCGCGTTTGGTTGAAACAGTGGTGTTAGTGTGGGGTGTTAGGCCAAGAGGCCTTTTGTAAGGCAAGCTAGGGGCCCACTCGGGTTTATTTGTCACACTGGGATTTGAAAAGGAGTTATTCAAAGTGATAGTTATGTCTTCTACTTAAGCCAGCAATTTTGGGCATGTTTGGGCTGCGAAAGCTCTTGAATGTCTCTCTCTTCCCAGAGCCCAGCATTGTGTAATTGGAGAAGTGAGGTGTGTGTCCATTACTAGTATCGCCTGCAGCTCTGAAGGGAACAAGGAATGCCTGGCCATGCCTTGTATCGTGGCCCTTGTATGTGTAGAGATGTGTGGTTTTGACTTACTTTGGGGGTGTCTGTGAGATGGGAGGGTCTTGAAGTTCTTTCCCCTGAAGGAGTCCATCTTTGGGCAGTGGCCCAGCAGTTTATAATGAATGTGGAGATGGGACCGTTTGTTGATCAGGGCATCTGGTGTGAAAATAACCCCCTGAAGTTTGGCCAAGCGATGTTTCTTAGGTCCCGTTTTTATTCTTTTTTTTTT